TTCACTTAATATGTCATCAGCCCCAACGACTGGAAAGTTCTCAATTTTACTTATGTCATCAGCCCCAACGACTGGAAAGTTCTCAATTTCACTTATGTCATCAGCCCTACCGACTGGAAAATACTAAATTTCAGGGCACTGTCACTGCCTTCGTCAGCTCTAACAGCTGGAAACACTTATCACGGATGATCGGATGAGCAGAATTACACGAATGTTGCAGTAATTTCAACTTATGTAACCGCTGACTCCCAGCCTAATTTGGTTACATACCATTTCATCAATGGTCTTCACGTTTTCTGACCTTAGTGTGTAATTCATACAAGCAGCCATGCTTTGCAGTCGCGGAAGGGAACAGTGAATATTTTCAAATGACGAACTTTACTTCATCAACAACCAGGTTACAAGTTACGATTGGCTAAAATTGACGTGACTACTATAAGTGACTACTATTAACATGGCTACAATTGATGTGACTACCCTTCGCATGGCTACATTACCTTCGCATGGCTGCAATTGACGGTTGAAATTATTTTACATTGGTCTGAAATGTATAAATTCATAATTAACATGTGGTATTAACAGGAATAAATGCATCTAACGATTAACTTGACGATGACTGTCTGAACGCCACACCTTACCGGCTGGCGTCGAAACAAAGAATAGCGCCTACAAGTAGCGCAGTGGGTACTAATCAACTACTAAACAATTGCTACGCGCTATGCGATTAAGCTGCGGCTACACCGCCCCCTAAATTCAATGCTATTGAATTTACAATGAAGAAACAAACGCAGCTTATTTACAAATCTCTATCAGCGCGAATCAACACTAATTATGAAACGAGTCTATCCAAAATAAACGTGCATGAACTCATCAACAGAAGAATGCTTACATTTAGATATCTCTACGAAGCACGTTTTTGAACAATGATCATGCTATTCCTAGTTTCAACCGATCCCAATCCGTGACGGATTCCCTCTAGTGGGCGACCAGAGACGGCCTATCAAATAGCGTAGCAAGAGGCTTTGTTTCGCATTGGGTCTCCACATTAGGAGGAACGTCCCTATCGGAATATTGGGATGGAAACAATCAGGTATTACAAACGAAATCTGGCCCAAAATTCCTAAGGATAAAATCCTTAGATGCCCACAGTAGAGCCTCGGCTGATCATATCAGCATGCTTTACTTCTGACGACATGAAGCCAATAGTCAGGCAACGAATTTCCTAAGCAAGTGCCGCCAACAATACGCGAAACTCCCGCTATCGTTTTCCATGTGCCTTTGGCTAACACAATTCGAATAATAAAATACGCGTGACACACCATACGTTAATACGGATAAGACCCTCGGACACAATTCTACACTCAGCTTAGCACTGGCTAACTCAATCCTAGGGACTGTTTCAAAATCTATTGTTGAGAGGCGTTAATCTAGCCTTGCTGTTCATTGACGATGACAACGAAGACGAACTTCGGTCTGGATAGATGAATTTCTGGTATATCACCGCACCATGAGCAGTCAGAGCGACATAGCAAAAGACGTGTAGTTTGACCTCTGAATGGATGGCATCTTTAGATCTCATAATATTTCAGAGATTCTACGTCGTGCAATCAGTCCCGCCAGGCCCATTGTAGCTGAGTTGGTAGAACTTTGTCCAGGTCAATTTTGCGGCGACACGTTTCCTGGAACATTTTGCGAGCGGTGTTTATCACAGATGAGCAAAATCCTATTCTATCATACACAAATGCTCAAGAAAATCATACACATAAAGATCATACACAGAACAACACACTCCTAGCTAGTATCATTTTAACAGAGAGTGGATGATAATTTTACACGACACCCAATTAAATCTCCATCAGTGTCCCTGGACACGCTCAACGCTTTTTCTCATATTCAATATTAAGCCTATCTGTAAGTTTTCAATTCAACCAGACGCTACATGAGCAGGAATCTAGATCACAGCTGACAATATCTCAGTCGGAAACCCCTTAATCCTAATTCTAGCAGAAACGACTGGGAATGCTACATTCTAATTAATTACCAATTTTTTTAAAGAACACGTTTTAGGAGAGAACACATCACCTGGCTTGAACCGGAATCTCGGTGAAGATCCTCGGCCGCCGTCGACGTGCAGGATAGTACGTTGCTGCTGTCGCAACGGAAGCACTTTGACTTATTCTGGCAGTTGGTCTCCGTGTGATTTCTTTCCAAGCAGAGGAAGCAGAGCTTCTCTTTTCTGATGAAGTTCACCTTTGTACCTCGGGGTAAGGCGCTGAACAGCCTGCTGAAGCAATCGTTGGGGCTTGCCGGTGGAGTACTGTTCTAAATAAACTTTGAGGCGGCAAGTAGGACGTCGAGACGAGTGGCGGCATCGCTTGAGGCGGCAAGTAGGACGTCGAGGCGAGTGGAGGCATCGCTTGAGGCGGCAAGTAGGACGTCTTATAAAACCGGAGGCATCGCTTGCGGCGGAAAGTAGGACGTCGGAGAAGACCGGAGGTATCGCTGAAGGCGGTAAGTTCGATGTCGAGACGATCGAAGGCATCGCCGAAGGCGCTAAGTTGGATGTCGAGACGACCGAAGACACGGCCGAAGGCGATAAGTTGGATGTCGAGACGACCGAAGACATGGCCGAAGGCGGCAAGTTGGATGTCGAGACGACCGAAGACATGGCCGAAGGCGGCAAGTTGGATGTCGAGACGACCGAAGACATGGCCGAAGGCGGCAAGTTGGATGTCGAGACGACCGAAGACATGGCCGAAGGCGGCAAGTTGGATGTCGAGACGACCGAAGACATGGCCGAAGGCGGCAAGTTGGATGTCGAGACGACCGAAGACATGGCCGAAGGCGGCAAGTTGGATGTCGAGACGACCGAANTGTAACCGCTGAATCCCAGCCTAATTTGGTTACATACCATTTCATCAATGGTCTTCACGTTTTCTGACCTTAGTGTGTAATTCATACAAGCAGCCATGCTTTGCAGTCGCGGAAGGGAACAGTGAATATTTTCAAATGAAGAACTTTACTTCATCAACAACCAGGTTACATATACTATGTTCTACCCCTTATAATCATCCATACTTCTCGGTATAATTCTGGACTGGCCAGTTCAGTACGAAAGTTCCTCGATCCTTCATCCTTCAAAGTCCTGCGGATGGGCGCGTTGTGGTGCAGGAAAACAGGGTGTACGTGTGGCGTCTGGATGAACCGAGACGCTCGTGAAGATGTTTTTATGAACCTCGAAGTCAATAATTTTATCGTGGATGTGAATAAAGCAGCTAAACCTTTTAGAAGCAATCGCTCGGCACGCGCTAGCATGCCACCACCGAAATTTAACTGTTTCGTTGAAACATTAAAGATAACATCACTCACCTGATTTCTGGCGTACGTAATTTTTGTCACCAGAATCATACATTTTAATTCTAGGTTCAACCTTGAAATGAATATGATCCAACTGTGCCTCAGTCCAATAATCACGTTCTGCTGCTGAACTCCAGACGTGTTGTCTGTTGTCGCATGAAAGAAAGGCTTCCATGCAGGCTTAATTTCATGTTATTCATTATATAATCTAGTCAAAGAGAGCTTTCGATATCCTTTGAGCTCTACTTCTACATCTCTACATTAAAACAATACAATGAAGCGTTAAAAGTCGGCCTTTCAAAGCATTATTGTACGAACCACTAACGAAAATTTACATTTCAGAGTTTATTTGTAGTCCAGCTTGTTGTTGATTGGATATATAAGGTTTATCTTTAAACCTGTTTGCTACACAACTAACTACAGCCTGAGAACAGAAATAATCAGCACATTTTTCCGTATTGGACAGACATTGATTGACTCAGCGAGTTACCTTCACTTAATTTTATATGCAATTGTTCTACCTCATTCTGTTTTACCGTAATTTTTTTAATAATGGACGAGTGACTCAAGTTGTCTTGAGTCAAAAGCAATAATGCGCAATGTAAATTAAAAGCAGAGAAATTTATGTTCTATTAATGGTTAAAAAGCATCGATTGAGTGAATGATTTTTGTTGTAAACAGGATCTGTAAGGTGCAATTTAGGTGTTCTAAAGAGACCGTGCCTTATATTGATGTAGTTAATTCGCATAAACATATGCCAAGTTAAAGCAGCATAAAAACTGATTTTTTTAGGTTTGCAGTAATTAATGACAGAATTTACAATCATTGCTTGGAGTGAGATCGTGACGTACGTACGTTGAGTAGAAGAGAGATGTCCTACTGGAAAGTGAGGCGTGAAAAATACATTTTCATTCTCATTTTTACGTGTGTGTATTGCGGCAGCTAGGATCCTCATTTGTCTTGCTTTCTTTTCTTTACACTGCGTCTTTTTGCGGCGAAAACTCCTATTGTTAATTGTTAACCTCTCGAGCCTGCCACTTTTTCTGGCTAATATTCATGTGCACTTCGCAAGTATCACTTCGCTCATAAGTAATAATCATGTTAGTGTTAGGAACTGAACTGCAGAACTGAGCTGCATTGCCATGAATCTGACAAATCGCTATAGAAAACAAAGTGTTTTTCGAATAATGAGTCATTGACAATATGGTATTGACGAAATGGTATTTGAATAGTGACAGTCATTGTCAATATGGCATTGACAAATTGGTATTTGAATAGTGACAGTCATTGACAAATGACAATATGGTATTGGTATCGGCCGAACGATCTTAGGTGTTACCCTATTAATTATTATTATTATTATTATTATTCCACGAAGAGATTGTCGTGGCGTCTCGTTCAGATCGAACTTCGAGGGCACGTTACAAGCGGCTTAACTATGTTTATATAGGGATGGATACAAGTTACAACTAACATATTTCCAATTATATTGAACTGTAATTTTTTATTATTTTTATTTTATTATTATATTTAGTTCCAGTTTCTGACAGTGACTTCAAAGTTTTAGCTTCCAGTTCCGGTGTTTCTGATTGCGCATTTTGTAATCATTGTAAATTTTTAAACAGAGGCCTAGTTTGAATTTAGCTTTTAGCTCTTACCCACTTGAAATTGTAAATAGGTAGGTTTTACAGCTTAGGTTTTTGTTGTAATCTTGACTGTACTAATTACTGATTTATCTGTGTCCTAGAATTTTCGAACTGACGATGGAGCTGGACTCCGAAACGTTTTCTTTAAAGATACCATGAATTTATGTGGAGTTTTCTTTGCTTCTAAGTTTTTAGTGAATTTGCGATTCGACATTATTACTGACACATATTTGTCCAGTTAGATGAATGCGCTTTTACATCAACAAAAAAAGCCATTTCGGAAGGCGAGATATATATTATACAGCTAAAAGTTCCAGCAACTGCAAGTACAGAAAATGCTACTCAGTAATTAGAATTAAACGAACATAGGCTTTCAGTTATTGTTATCGAGGTAATAGCGCTGCTTCCGCAAAATCTCTTTGTGACAATCTAACAAACTTTTCCTCGCGCCCGCGTTTTTCCCTCATAAACTTTTGAATGAATCAACATTTCTATTTTTCTGATGTTTTGGTGTCTACAGGTCTCTTCATGCGGCATTTTTCTTCATCTGTTAATGACGTCATTTGCATTGTATGATTCACCATCCATATTCCTTTTTAGGTAAATGTACCCGTGAAAATTTCCCATCCGCCTTAATCTCTGCAAATGAAGTGCCCTAAGAAATGTATTGATAGTTAAAACAAATTAAACTTATATTAGGCTAGTGTTTACATTTTTGTTTGTCCGCTGAATTCATTCACATCGCCTGGACCGCCAAATTTCGTATTAAATCTGTGGCGCTAAACTGTCATTGAATGAGGCCAAGATGGACTAAATTAATTGTACGAAGCACAATAATATTTTAATTAATTTACGTTAGCGACAGTAAAATGCAAATGATTTATCCGCAAAGTTTCCTTCTTGCTGTTAATTGAGCGATAAACTGTGTTATGTAATTGCTAACCCAAAATGTGACAAATGTTTTTTATTAAATAGATTTTAAATGTGAATTTAAACTTTTTCCTGTTACTGTCAATGCAGTATTTTCATCAGCTTGTTAATCGCGCGTGATAGTCAAATTCATGGCCGCTTTTAATTAAACTTTTATTTGCTTGATTACGCATGACTCTCGTTTCAATTGCGAGTTGCCAAGAAACTTTAAGAATTGACTGGCATTCAGTAG